GGGAGGCAGGACCCTGGGAGGTGATAGCCACATCAGGAGACGTAGAGTCAACCTCCGAGTCGTCCGAGTCTTTGAGATACTGGTGGCGATCACTAGAAGATGCAGATTCTGGAGAGGTCTGTCTCTCTCTTTCCGCTCGCCTCGATGTAGATGGGGCCTCCCTCGGCGCTGATGGTGACGGACGGTCCCATGGGTAAAAGGAATATGGTTGGTATTCACCTCAAGTAGGGAAACCACCATAGCCATGCATCAGCCAATCTTCATCTCCATGCTCGGATGAACGGCTTCGACGTCTCGGAGGCGAGGGTGAATCTGCAGGTGGTTCGGCCGCTGGCATTGGAGTAGGGGAGTGTTCCCTCGGTGGGGAGTCTCTAATCTCTCCATCAGAAAAAGACTCCCTAAGCAGCTCCTCTGGTTGTTGAGGAGACACGCTCTCAGGCCTGATAGGGTGCCTGGGGGATCTGGGCGGGGTCACCTGCATCGCGGATTGCATGGCCGGTCCCGAGGGAGTCAGTACCGCGGTGGCGGTCGGTACTGAGAAGCCCGATGAACCCGAACCACGGTGTTTGGGGCGGTCGGGATTTTTGCCTTTACGGGTGGTCTTGTCTGCCTTTTCCTTTCTCGGCTTCTTATGCGCAGATGGCTTGTCTGAGCCAGTATGTTTGCACTTTTGTTTCTTAGCTGGAGAAGAAGGGAGCTGCTGGGCCTCCATAGAGGTGGCACCTTTGTCCGAAGGACGCTGTGGAGGAGCAGTTGAAGCCGGAACAGGGCACTTCGGAGGTGCACCAGAGGCAGAGGCGGAGCGTTGAGAGGGCGCGGCCAAGGAGGAGCCAGGCCTTAAGACCAGTTGGTCAGATTGCATCAAGGCCTGGTCCCATAAGAGCTCGCGGAGACGATTCTCCCTATTTTTTCTAGCTTGCTTGGTAAAGGCCAAGCAATGGCCGCACTTATCAGTTCTATGCCCCTCACCGAAGCAGAGGAGGCATAGGTCGTGCGCATCTGCGGGCGACATTTTGGATCCGCACTCAACACATTTGTGGAATGCCGCTCGCTGCGCATCGTGAAAAATAGAAAAGAGAAGATAGTGCAGAGGGTAAGATAATTTTTTTTGGTTGTTTTTTTTATATAGGAACGAAGAAAAAGAAAGATGGGATAAGAGCAAAAAACTAGGAGTATAAGAAGGTAGGAACAAGATATAGCAAAAATGTAAAACGAACAGTAAGCACGAGGATCTAAGCGAGAGACGAACAGGCATGAGGCACAGCAAATGGCGGTCGCAAAAACTGAGCAAAATGGCGGACACTCCGCTCTATTTATACCACTGGGGGGGAGGGGAGCGGAGTTTTCCCACCAAAACCGTTAGCTTTCCAATCTTCCGGCCTAGGCACTGCGCAGGCGCAGCACCCAAATGTGTGATGCACAGAGGCCACGACAAAGAACAAGAAGTCACCATGGCAGGGTCTTGGATTGTCAACATGGAGCCTCCATGCGCTGAAGCTGGTAAATGTGCAAACCAGGTCACTGCCCCTGTCTTCCTCTTAAACATCAAACTGCAGCTCATCTTTGACATTTCCATCCCATCCTTATTTATGATGCCTTTATTTGCTACATTTTATATGACCCATTAGCCAATGTTCTCTGAGTGGTTCACAAATTACAACATTAATAAAATACAAAATCTTTAAATGTTTAAAACATAAAGCCAAAATATACTGTATGCTGGTAGCTGATTCTTTCTTCTCTCACAGATTCTGCCTCTTCCTTCTTTTCTGATTCTTCAGAATCTTTTCTGTCTCTGGCTGTAGACTATGATATATGTTATATAGAAAAAGTTACTGTTTAAACCGTTCGATTGTCACCCATGCAGACCCTTTAAATTCTGCCCAAACATGATCAACAGCCACCATTGCAACCATATTTCTTGCAGGAGAAAATTTATATCATATCTGCCAACTGTCAAAGGATCAGAAACAGCTGGTATGCCATGACACTATGTTCTACTCCTCCTCTGCAGTTTCTGTCCTGTTCTTCAAAATGTCAGATAACTTAAAGTAAGTGTCAGGCTTTCATGGGAACAGAGGAAATCTCAGTAACATGTACTTCTTGTACATAGTAAAAACCAGAGTAATGTCTTTTATAAAAACTGCTTCCCTTATACATGAAATGACCTTTTACATTCATCATGTATGTATGTTTAAGGTATTGTTTTTGCAGGCAATCCCACATTTCCAGATTAAATTACAGTTACAGTACAGAGGTGAGATGTTAATCTAGAGTGGAGGAGGAGAAGCAATTTTACACATGTGAAAACAGTGGCCAGGTTTGCATGATCATGGGCTGATGGGGAAGCTGTGGGTTTCTTTTCCCTTCCTTCTGCATGCCAGTTATATGCCACAGAATTTGCTTAATTACGGTCATGGACCACAGCTTCTCGTGTTGTCTGAACCCAGGCAAAACTACCTCAGAACCCATGGCTTATCCTAGGGTTCCAGCTTGAGTTCAAAGCCACTCCCACCACATACCTCACTGGGCTCAAAACATAGGAAGCCACACACCATGAAAGAAATTAGGCAAATTGAGCAGTGTGCAACTGGCATGCAAGGGGGGAAGGGAAACAAGCCATCATTACTACTTTCCTCCCTGTGATCATGCAAACCAGCCAATATCTTATATAGGTTCACAGTCATCATGCTGGATCCAGGGGCTTTTTCTAAATAATTGGAACATGTGCCTAAACTACTTCATGCAACGTTCCCCCAAGTTCCTGTACAAAGTTGTATGGCTTATGCCCTGAATGCAGTAAATTCTTAGGGGAATAGCCAGACTGATGTTTGCATCACTTAAGCGACTAGAACAGCTGAATGTGCACTCTGGTGATGAGAGAAACATAATAAAACAAAATGAAATTAGAAGTCTTATAAATAACGAGGCAGGGGGAAAGTGAACCTTCCTAGAATCTGCCAATTAAAAAACAGAGCAAAAGCCATTCATATGAATATGGAGCCTCGAAAGCCTTTTTCATAGCCACTGTATACTCAGGTAATAGGATTGGTCAAAGGTCAAACCATTTGCAATGCTATGTCTTAACCCTGGTATTCATTATATTTAAACGAACAGCTGATGTGCCCATACTGGCCTGAGCCAGGTCAGGATTAAAGGAGCCCTCCTTTAATACTTTGACCCTGCAGTATGCTGTATCTAAATGGTGAGTGCAGGGGGGGCGGGGGGGAATGTCACACTAGCAAGCTGCTGTGGGAGGAAAGATCCCATTGATGCCAACATGAGTTTTTTCTCACATCAAAAGTAGCTGGCTCATAATTCAGAGTGGGACTGCAGTGGGAGCAAAAGGATAAAGTCTTCCTTCAGCCCTCATTCCATAACTCTGCCCTTGCTTCTGGGGTTCTTGTGCTTGTTGCTGCTTCATCCTAGATGCCAGGGCTAAAGACCTGAATAACCTTGCATCTTATTTGTTCCAGAAAAGCCTATCTAATGCAACATTCTGTTCACACAGTGGCCCACAGTAAGAAACCTACAAGTAGGACATGTGAGCAATAGCAACTTCCTGGATGTGTTCCCTTGCAACTAGTGGATAATCCATCTGTTGGACAATGCTGCTGATTACCCATATTTATAATTGAGCCATATTAGTTCAGCAATTAGCCATATTTATAATTTTCTCTATTTATAGTATCAATTTCAAACAGCGGGTAGCATCTGTGTTGTCATTTCCAATGTCTCTGTTTCAGTGCCATCTGCCACCAGGAATGTCTGGTGCTAGGGCAGAGACGTACGCGCACTGTCAAGCATTATGACCAGCACGTGCAGTACTGCCACACAGACACACTCTTCGGTAGGTCATCGCAGTGCTGAAGTGAGACGGAAATCTCTCTTTGTGTTTCTCTAAACCTTTAGTTAGTGGGAGCTAGTCTAAACTTTTAACTCCTAGCTAATTTTTAACAGGGGTCTTGTTTTCAAGTAGCAAATGATGAAGGTAGCTGTGCTGACTTGACGGAAGAAGTAGCGTTGTAGGAAGTGTGTGCGTATATGGTTTAACTTCCTCTCCTTCAGTAGAAACAGCAAAGGAGATTTGACAATAGCCCTTTGGACAATCCATCTGCTGCTCACTCTGAATTTCTTCTGTCTTGGCTTGTGCTGGCAAATGAGTAGTTACTGATATAATAATAGGAAGAAGGGTTTGCCAAAGCCTCCCTTACATTTTATTCTGCCCCTTGCCAAAGTTGCAAATTGCATTTATGATTTTGGATTAGGAGCTATACTGGAGACTAAACGGAATAGTGCTGGGGCCTGATTTGTCCCCCTGCTGTCCAGTTTTGTATCCCTGCTCTAAACTTAAACCTACTCTAAACACAGGCTCTTGAAACCACTTCTCAATGCACTGATTCGTATTTATTCAATTCTCACTAACTGCCCTTCCTTATTTCTGACACAGGTCCTATAATGTCTCTCCATCTCATTGGATTGTAGCTTCTATACCTTTCCTCTTTGTACTTCTAGCACAGGAAGCATGATGCTTCTACACCCATTTAAATGATAATAGTGAAAGTTTTTACATGGGTTCCTCCCAAGAAGAAAAAAGGCAGGATATAATAATAATGAAAATGAAAATTAACTAGTCACCATTTTGTGAACATCATTTAATTTCCACCCCTATAACAAGATTTGAAATGTAAACTTTGCATAACCACACCAATAGGCCTGTGGGATTTTACTATTAAATTAATGTAAACCTTAAAAATGCACATGATCTGAGGCAGTGAATTATGATCGTCTCCATTTTTAAAGCATCAGAATAAACCACTTTCTTGAGTGCAGTTCCTTCAAGAGTGACAAGCTTCAGGATAGTAGGCTAAGTACATTATGCAGAAGTTAAAATAAGTAAGTCTTTAAAAAGGTACTAATTTAGAAATAAAAAACTGGTCAGTTTAACAAAAGCATCCCATTACTATATTCATTAATATTGTTAATATTGCAAATTAAGATTCTTTTCATAGGTCTGAACATCAGATTTTAATTGTTTTTTTAAAAAAGCAAAATACATATGCCATTATGTAGCAAATTACTGTCCTTAACAATATGTACCATTATTTAGACTTGTTTTAATTCTAATTTGGTCAATAATACTTTATCCATTATGCTGATATAGTAAAATTTCAATAATGAATTATAAACATGACACCGCCATCTTAAAACTGCTTTGCTATAAATTGTAGCGAACGGACAGAATTACAAAGTTATTGTGTTTTATCAAAATATACAAAGCCCTCAAACATAACAGAAGCTATTATTTCCCATATGAATTATACAATTATAGAAAATACTTGTAAAAGTATCACTATGTATAAATATTACACATTATTGGCTTTGGTCTAGAATCATTAGCATATGCATCATTTTAGAAAATGTCTTAATTTATCTATTTGAAATACCTCACTAAAGTGAGACTATTTTTTTTAATTTTAAAAGGATCTGACACCAAAGCAGCTAAAGAACAGCCCCAAAATGTTCTCAGTATACAATTAACATCTTTCAATACTGATATCAATTGTGGGATATTTTCTTGCAAAACAACAAACAGTTATGCTTAAGATAAGTATATGTTATTTGCTTACTGCAACCAAAGATATTTAGTTTAAATAATGCATAAACATGAACCTACAAGGTCAGTGTCAGGTGTAGTTTTATGGATATTCTTTAAAGCATACTCATTTATATAATAGAATGTAGACCGCTGGCCACTTTCTGCTTTTTTTAGCCTTTCTGCAATTTTGAAATATATTGTTGTACTAAAGGCTTCACGTTCTCTTATTTGATACCAATCCAGTATACTTGATTTTTAAAAATCTTGTCTTATTGAAAGTTTCTTTTAATACCTTGGCTTTTTAAATTTATTTGTATATCAACCCTACATTAATCTGTAGCACTAGATCAGGCTAAGCAACACATGGACCACCAGCGCTGCCTGCCCTCTTGTATAACCTCCCTTGTTCTTGCAGCCCCTGCTGCTGCTAAATTTGGTAGTGTGGTTGTGTCTGCAATTGCTGAATTTAGTGACACGGTGGGAAAAAAAATTGGCAGCTTGTAGAAATTAAGCAGCAAAGCTATACAGGGTCATTGTCAAATGTAATTTGCCCTTTCTAAAGCTCCCTAGTGTTTTGCTACCAAATTTCAGCGGCAAACTGGCAAAATAAATTTTGCCACTATGCTACTCAACGTAATTTTTGCCTCTAGGAAACTCAGCAGTAGTTGCAGGAATGTGACAGGGGAACAGGGGATGGAAAGTGGTCCCTGTATCCCCCAAATTGGCCGAATTCTTTCCTAGATATGTGGCTATGAAGTTGGAGTCAACAAATCTTCACAAAGCAGGATATTTGTTGTCGCCTTAGACAACATGGACAAAGATTAGAGATATTCTTCAGCAGACAAATGTTCATTGTTTGCTGAAGAATTTTTGAAGGATGACCTTCTAATTTATATGAATTCTCTTGTTGATAGCTTGTTGAAGCATATAATCCAATGTTTTAAGGACAAGAATAGAGTGTTAGACTGAAAGACTGCAGAATATAGGGCTGATGTAAGCAAGGAAATTTATCCCTTATAGCAGGAGGATTAGGCTTTCAATTCAATATTGACTTAGATGAGTATGAAGGAGCCCCAAAACAGATTTCTGTAGACTTGGCAGAGGTGTGAATTCCCTTATATGGGAGTCAGAAAACTACTCTGCCTCTTCCTGGTATGATGCAAGCAATCTGAAGTCTCGTTAGATATAGTTAGGCAGTGTACCTAAGCATCTAAGGTTCAGAAAGGGCAGGAAAAAATGCTTCCTGAAGAGTTATAAAAATCAGATTTGTAAGGTTCAACAATGTCCACATTTATTAAGGATTCCATGAAGTCCTGAACCTCTGTTGGGCAATAATGCACTTCTGTAACAACCTAAACTTTTCATTCTATCCAAACATTAAATAAGAGAGAAGCTGCTCAACAAAATAAAGCAAATGAAGAGATTAAGGGAATGATCCTATGGTTCCTAGATGGCATTTGGTGGGGTGGGGGACATAAGATAGTTCAGATTCCCAGCTTTTAGATCAGGATCAGAGACAGTACCCTGACCTTGCATTTCGGAACTGGTGCTCCGTCTGATCTCCTTTCCCTTTCTTCTTGTAGCTGGTACAGAAATAAGGGTCAGATAAGCAACTTGGGTGGTGGGAAGGGAGGAGACTGGAGTGAACAGTATTCAAGGTATCTTGGATCACTCCTGCTTCTTTGCTTCCCCTTTTGAAATGGTGTCATCCATGTGGGAGAAGCTGGGAGGCAGAAATTGCTTCTCCCAGTCTACTTGGATAAGCATTTTCTTCTGAACTATACCTTCATTCATTCTGATGGATTTCACCCTAAAGTAATATTGAAACATCAGTGATCAAGTCTTTCATGACAGTTCCAATAATCCTTGATGTTAGGAATGGATTGTCTGCATTCCATGTAGTTTCTGCAAACTGGTAAGATAGGTTTGCATCAAAGTACAGCATTAAGGGTTTCAGGAAATGGATAGTCTGGGAGACAGCGAAATGAACCCATGTTGAATGCTATGGATATGATATGCACTTCATGCGATAAGAGTAGACTAACAACTCTATAATCATAATCACATGATGACTATACATATATTCACTTGATGACTATGCATGTAAAACCCAGTGACAGTCAGCCTAGACTATAATTTAGTAGTCAAGAATGCTGACCTTGGATTACATCGAAGAACCAAAACTAAACCCACCTTTCCATGGATGCAGCTGTATATCTGGAAGAGGATCAGCACAGGCAAGGATGAACAACTTGTGGCCCTCTTAATCATTTTAACCCACAATTTCCACCAATAGTGGCTGGCATAGCTAGTGGAGATGGGAGTTGTAAGCTAAAACATCTGGAGGGTTACAAGTTGCCAACTTCTGGCATGGGGTCAATGGGATCATGTTCCATCTTCCTTTTCCTTGCCTGCAGCTGGGGCACATGCAAGTTTTAATGGGAGGCCCATGCATAGGCCGTATATTAACATCCAGCCATCCTTTTCCTTCCTTGGTCCATCCCAGGTCACTCTAACTTGAAGGTCAAGTAACTTGTAACCTAGAAATGGCTATCCATAGGAGACAAGTATGGGGTTTTCATTGGAAATCATGTCCTGAATGTTACAGTGTGAATGTGACCAAAGACGAAGAGGGTGATGAAGGAAAGAGCATTCTGTTACACCTTGTATCAGCTGTGCCCATGGAGAATAGGTCATGCTGTAATCAGTTAAGCAACTGAATTGTTGATTAAGCTAGATGCTTAACAGCTCTAACATATAAGGAGCTTGTGATCCATTGCTGTAGAGTATTAACAATATAAATGTTCATCATTATTACTATTATTCCTATCCCTCTTCACACGGCTGTTCTCTAACAGCATATTCAGATTTTAGAAGAGTTGGATGTACATTTTCAAATAACACATTTTAGAATCTTTACCAGATGGTGTAGTGTACATATTAAACTATGGCTAAATTTAACTTCCAAATTACAGTATTAAATTTTGCACAAATTAACATTACATTTCACTGAGGAATATAGGGTGTGGTTTTTTCTGTCTCTAGCATAAATTCTTTAACATTGTTATACTTTCAATCTATCTATTTTATCTCTTCATCCAGAATAGTTTAGATTCTTAATGAACTAGTCATAAATAATAAGTAATAAATTACTTATTTTAAATGGTTTAATTTAGTCATATTCTCATTTGCCTCTTTTTAAGTATAGCTGTACTGTGGAAAATCAATGTCTGCTTCAGCTTCTGTTAGCCTTCACACTATGGAGAAATTTCATACAATTTCCATTTTTTTTTGCTTTTATGGCACATTTTTCATGTAATCAATATTTATATGCAGAAACAATACCTCACATTTTACAATCTCCATAACTCTGGACATTCCCCTTCTCCCAGCCTAATATCTTTCTTCTATTTTCTTTAATCTGTTGTATTTCTTCATACTGAAAGTCCTGATACGTGTTTTTGAATGTTACTTGCTTCATGCCTGTCTGCGTTAATTATATTTTGAGTTTGTAAAGGTTTTGTTGTTTCCTGTCCCTCTGAAACCATGAAATGTTGACTTATAAATGTCTTAGTGCTTTCTTTAAATAAGCAATCCTTTCTATCCTCCTGCTTGGGGGCTTTGAATAAATGCTTCTTCTGGTGCATTCCCAGAGCAGCTGCTGTCTTGCAAACCTTGGGGCACTGAAAACATGCATATCCTTTCCCAGTATGCTCACGCTTATGTCTTTGCTCATGATTCCTTTTGGTAGAAAGATATAAGAAACTCTGAAAGCAAAACTGACAATGATAACGCTTTTCCCCCGTATGAATTCTCTCATGTATTTTGAGTGTTTCATTTAGGGTGAATGCTTTGTTACAATAGCGGCAGACAAACTCCTTGACACCTAGATGGGAGCGTTCATGCTTCTGTAAGTTGCCTGAGATAGCAAAGCTCTTTCCACAGGTTTTGCAAGTATATGGTTTCTCTCCTGTATGACATCGCCTATGCATCCTTAAAGCAGATGGGCTCTGGAACCGCTTTGAGCATAACTCACAAGCGTAAGGCTCCGGAGTAGTTGTGTCCCAGTGTAAATGATCCTGGGTTTCTTCAGTAGAAGAAGTCCCCCTTGTACAGAGCTCACAGTGCAGATTAGGCATTGTTCCATCATCTGCTTGATTCTTTTCTTCAGGAAGGTTCCTAAGCGCATAATTTGTGACAAATGTCTTTTCACTTTCTCTGCAAGTATCTCTGCTCTTGTACTTTTCTCTCCATTTTGCCTTTCTAATTTTTCTTAGCTGTTTAGATTTCTTTTTTGGTTTGTAATTGTAATATGGCCGCCATGGTTTATCATTGGCATCATGGTCACTCACATCATCACACATTTCATTAAGTTCAATGTAGTCCGAGCTACAGACTCGAGACATGCTTCTCTCTCTTTTCTCCCTTTCTGTGACCTGAACGGTATGCTCTTCCTTGGATTCATATTTTGATCTTCTGCCTTTTTTGTAAAACAATTTGGAGCCCAAAATTTGTCTTTTCACAATGGCTTCATTTCCAATTTTAACTGTGATTTGACAAAGAGGAGCAACATTGCTATCAGCAGAAGTCCCTGGTAATGCAGGTTTTGCAATGTAAGTTTCAGTCTTACTTGAAGGTTCAGACATGTCAGTAGGTGTGTTAGAAGACATTCCTGTATTTGCCAAATATTTTAACTCTTCTGATGTTCCTTCTCTGCTGTATAGTGCGATTTTTTTCTTTTCTTTATTGCTTCTTGTTCTAACATTGCTTTTGCTATCATCTGACCCTTGTGTATGTTCATTGCTTGTTACTTGGCTGATTTTAATATCTGAGGTTCCTGTGTTGCTGTTGCCTCCTGTTGTGTTGACAGCATTACTGTGCATTATTACAGAGGAAACTCTACTACTATGTACTATCACAGAAGAAGCTGAATTATTATAATTAATAACAGAGGTTGAATTTTCAACAGCATTGCTACTGCTAATTGTTGACAAAGAGGAATTGTATTCCTGAGGCCCAGTGTTCAGTTCAGTGGAGGACAATGGCCTTCCAGTAGTATAATTATCACTTTGAAGGCCTGCTTCTGATGCACCCGCTTCCCAGGAAGAAATATTTGGAGGGTTCATAGGTACTGCTGTTGCATCATTACATGAAGATGAATTCAAGGAAATAGTTGTGTTTGATAACATATCGTGTGCAAAATCCAGTGATGGTAGTTCAGCAGTGACAGTATTCTGAAGAATGCAGGTACTAGAAGGGGCTTCATTAACTTGTATGCTTGCTTGTATGCTTTCATACGATGTGTTTCTATAGCTTTTATATGGTGGCCTTTTGCATTTCATAGGCAAAAGCCTGTAAAGTTTGTAAGGATATACACTTGCTTTCAAGCTCCCATTAGCAGTTTTCTTATTTACTCCAACCCGGTGGTCAATAGCATGGAAAGATTTCTGGTGGTTTTTGAGTATGTAGTATGTCATAAAGGTCTCAAGGCAGAAGATGCACTGGTAACGCCGTTCTCCTGTGTGCCAGATTTCATGTCTGGTACGGTATTCTGCTAAAGCAAATACTTTGTTGCAGTAATGACAAGGGTATGTTCTCCTCCATGAATGAACATTTGAATGTCTTCGGAGGCTGGACAAGGTGACATAGGTACGTTTGCAAACAGTACATGTATAAAGTATCTGTCCATCAACAACTTTAACAAAGTGGTCTGTTTCTGGCTTTGGACAGTTTGTGATAGGAAAATCAGTAAGCTCATTTTGCGTCACTGTGGGCTCTGGGTTTATATAGGAAGTGCTAGTTTTACCATGTGAAGCAGCAAAATTATCTAAACAGCTTGGCTCGTTTTCATTTTGAACACATAAACTGTCCAACTCCCTACATACTTGCTCATGTGTCTCTAGTCCAGAAGTACTCTCAAATTGTTTGCTACAGTATTTGCAGACTAAAGGTTCTTGAGGTTGTGAATGAAGCTGAAGATGGGTGCTGAATTGAGTTCCATCACTGAATGTTTTAGCACAACAGTTACAGTTATAAACATGTGGAATGACTGTGACTATTGATCCAGAAATATGATCTGATTTATTTTCATCTTCCTTTGAAGAAAGAACATTGCCAGTATCTGGGTGGGATTTTTGAAGAGAAAAGATCTGATCATTTGCTGCTTTCTGGTGACCTTCTCCACTGCTTCCCTTGTGGGTTGATATTTTTATTGTAGATACATCAGTGACCTGGGTGTTGAAAACAGCCTTTGCTGTGCTATTTGTTTGCATTATTGATTCAGCTGCAGGTACTGATTGGACAGCTTCAGAACCATCTTCACCTATTTTAGAAAGGAGAGTGTTTTCATGATAAAAGGAATTTTGTTGAAAAGCATCACAACTCGTAGTAACGGCATAGGAATGTTCAGCTAATGTACTGGCTCGCTCAACATCTTTGCAAGCACTGTTCTTGTCCAGACCAATACTGGATGCTTTATTTGTTTCAGGCATTTTTTTGAAACTTGCTCTCAGGTCAAGAGGAGAAAATAAATTATTACTATTCTCCGATTCAAAAATTGAGTATGCATTTGTGATTCTTGGACCATTTGTGATGGCTGAGTCTTCTTGTCTTTTTTCTTCTTTCACTTCACCCTTTTCAGTATTGCAAAATGAATACAGACAAGGAGAACTTGAAAAACTCTTCTCTGAAAGATCTTCCAGAAATGATATACCCAGTTTTTTCCCTGCAGCTGCAAGGTCTAAAACACTCTCCTGTCTTTTAACTATTACTGTGGAACTATAGATGTAATTAAGTATTTCTGTGAACACTTCAGCCTTGAGGTCATCTAGTTCTAGCACATGTCCAGAAATACAGATTGCCCGACTCCAAAATATATTTTTGAAATAAAGGCTCGAAGCAGCCAGGACATTGCTATGGGCCTTAAATTTGGTGTCTTCCACAATTATTGTGACATCACATAAAACACCTCGAATGCGTTGTTCATTTAAGATGGAGAGAACCGTGTCACTGTGGAAGTCATCCTTGAGATCCTTGAAGTGAGACATGATGGTCATCTGTTTAAAATTAAAAAATAAAAATAAAAAAGTTAACAGGATCAAGTGAGAATTTGTTCTGCTCATTAAAATTCAGTTCTTGTTTTGGTGACATGGAAATTTCTATATATTATTTCTGTATATCTGTTTCTATATATTTCTAGTATTATCCAAAACTTAAGGTAACATTTTTCTATTTCTCTTACAGAAACCTTTGTGAATCTGTATCTATCAGTAGTTCAGTGAGAGGATACTTAAAGAAAAGATAATTTCTGCATACTCTAAAAAGTCCCAAGTTATCCCAGCAATTTTTCTGAGTTCTGGCTAGTCTAGTTTTTAAAGAGACACTTTTTCCAGTCCTTAAAAAACCCCCAAAACTCCCCTCCAATGACTCTTCAACTGAGAAGGAAGGGCAGAGTCCTGAAAAGCTTAAATTATCCAGAAAAGAATAGTAAGTGGTGCAATTAGGGTCTAGAGATACGTCTGGAAAGCTTCCCCTTGGTTATCTTTACCTGTGGAGTGCTTACATTTCCATTTCCTCATTCCTGTCTGAGACATTCTTCTGTTAAACCTATTTGCTCTGTGCCTGCACTCTGGCCTTGTTTCTGTCTGCCTTCCTCCCTGTATCAATCTGCATTTGCTTCTGCCTACCTGCTCTAATCTTCTTGTCTTTCGATTTGTTTGTTTCTCTGAGTGTGCTGATAAATGTTGATTCAGAACGCTGGGAATAGCTTTGCCCAAATCAGCTGGAGTTCCACCCTATCTTCCAGCTCTACTCCATGGCCTGCCTTGATACTTCCCCCCACTTCTCCCCATTTAGATATGATCTTGCCTTCCATTCTGTCCCATAGGAAGCCTGATTCTCCAATTCACTGTTGTGCTAAGGAAAGACTGCATGAAGCATAACCAACCAACTGCAGAGAAACATCTGTCAGCAGGAACAAAACTGATAGGTGGTTCTGCACAAAACTAAAATAACGTATATTGATATTACTTTGTTATATATTTACTATACTGCCCAATAAGCAATTGTTCATAAATAAATGTTCACCGAGTACAATACAAAATCGGGTGTAGTGGAGGGGACCCTTGGGAGGGTCTGAGCACCTCCACTTATTTTGGAGGGGGCTGTCAGGGTGCCCTACTGGATCCTTGAATCCAGGGTCACTGTCCCTCCTCACCACCTCTCACAAGTCTTAATGTTGCTGGTTTTTGGCTAGCAGCTGCCACTGTGTCGAAGTCCTAAATTTAGCAGGTTAAAAACAGGGGTGTTTTTTTGATAGTTCCTAACAGTTCCTCAGAACTATCTGCCCGGCATGCACATGTCTTTTCTGTGACACTTTCCTCATGGCCAGCCTCTGTGCCTCAGCAACATGTGGTCAGCTTGCCTTTGCTGCTCCAGAAATGACCACCCATCCTGCCTGACCCCCCAATCCTGGTTAATAAGACTGTGGGAAGTAACTGCCTTATTAATTCCACATAAGCCAATCTGGGAGCTTTTTGGCTGGTGAGTGGGCTATGGATGTAATGTTTAAAAATCATTCATTCATAATAAATAATAAGAAATAATTCTAGAAGCTGTCATTTGTTCACCTCAAAATGAGATACCTTCATCTTGCATTCCTTGCTCAACAGAAATTCAAATGAAGTGGCAAGGTTGATTTTTATTGTATAATCACAGGCGGCATAATCTTGGAAAGAGGTGTGGCTTGGGGTGTATGGCTTTGATGGGGCAGTGGCCTTGAGGCGTGGCTCTGACTATCATGAAGGGATCCCCTACTTCTAAACTTGCCACTAAACCACTATAAATGTTTAAAACAATGCTATAATAATAATGATAATAATAATAATAATAATTATTATTATTACATTTCTATGCCGCCCCTTGCCGAAACCTCGGGGCGGCTTACAACATGATAAAATACATTGAAATACAATAGTACATAATAAATTACCATTAAATATAAAAATACAAAAAAGACATTGATTTACAAATACAAAATTAAAATTATCAGTATAAAATAAAAGTATAGGAGGAGAAAGAGAAGGAAGAAGAAGTTGCCCTGGCCAGATCATATGTTTTAACAATTGAAATGATGTTTAAATAAAAAGGTCTTTACCTGGCGCCGAAAAACCAGTAACGACGGTGCCAGGCGGACCTCTTTGGGGAGTGAATTCCATAGGTTGGGCGCCACCGCAGAGAAAGCCCTCCTCCGGGTACTTACTCTCCTAATTTCTTTCATGGAGGGTTCCCAGAGAAGGGACTCTCCCGCAGATCTCAAAGGGCGGTCGGGCATATACGGACGTAAGCGCTCGTTCAGGTAGCCAGGACCCAAGCCGTTTAGGGCTTTGTAGGTCATAATCAACACCTTGAATTGGGCCCGGGCTTCAATGGGAAGCCAGTGAAGCTGATGGAGGACTGGAGTCATGTGAGCATAACGCCCCGTCCCCGTCAGCAACCTGGCAGCTCTATTTTGCACCAATTGAAGTGTTCGGACTGTCTTCAGGGGAAGCCCCACGTAAAGCGCGTTACAGAAGTCTAGGCGGGAAGTCACCAGCGCATGTGTCACCGTCGCCAGGCAGTCGTACTCCAGGTAGGGGCGCAGCTGATTAATCAGCCGAAGCTGAAGGAAGGCGTTCCTCGCTACCGCTGTCACCTGAGCTTCCAAAGAAAGCTCCGGGTCGAGGAGTACTCCTAAGCTGCGGACCTTATCCCTAAGAGGGAGTGTTGCACCATTCAGGACCAGGTCAAATCCACCCTCTCCGAAACCCGATCCGCCAACCAACAGGACCTCCGTCTTGTCTGGGTTGAGTTTCAGTTTATTGGCCCTCATCCATTCCCTTACCTCGGCCAAGCACCGGTTCAGCAAAGCCACAGTAAAACATAGATGTGGAACAAAGATAACATACAGTAAAGGGTTTAAAATCATACAGGAGGAAAGACTAACATTCCTGGAAGCAAGAAGCTCTTCATCTGGTTCTGGAAATAATACAACGTAGGTGCCAGGTGAGCCTCTTTGGGAAGCACATTTTACAACTGGGGTGGTACAGCGGAAAGGCCTCTTCTTAGAAGCCACCCACCTCACTTCCTTTGGCAGGGGCTCCTGCAGAAGGGATTTGAGGACAATTTAAAGATTCAGGTATTGTATATGGGAGGGGACATTCTTTCCGATAATCTGAATGCAAGCTATTTAGGGTCTTGAATTGGGCCAGAACATGGACCGGCAGCCAGTGCAGATGGTAAAGTGCTAACTGAATGTAATCATGATGACCTGACCCTGTTAACAATCTTGTTGCCCTATTCGGATCAGCTGAAGTTTCCAGACTAATTTCAAAGCCATCCCCACATATAGTATAGATAATCCAGCTGAGAGGTTACCAGAACAAAGATAACTGTAGTTCAGTTAACCCTGTCCAAATAGGGCATTGCATTATATATGTATGTGTATTGCATTATAATACATACATACATAACATGCATAATATGCAATATATACAAGTATAATTTCCCTATTTATAATTAGTTATTTTACTTTACATTACACTCAAGAGCAAAATTAAATTTTAAGGTTTCCTCAAGATTAAAATCTCTCTTGACCCTGCTTATCCCAAGTATGTTGGGAAGCTTGAAAGAAGCTTAAACCTGTTAAATTCTTGCTAAAGGCAATACCTGGTCTTAAATACTCGTTGCATGGCTTTTGCTGATATCAGAAAATATTATATTAATTCCTAAGAAAATTGGACTATATTCTTTACCATTAAAAATGCCTCTTTCCAAAGGAAAGGATGCCACAAGGGTATTCATAAGCTGCTGATAAGATAAACCAATCACCCTGCATTTTGCGCACTCTCTCCTTCTATGTGATTATGCTCAGCACCTGATGGTGGATTGTACAGTGGAGCCAAACTTCCAAAGCTGGAGCTTCAAAATGAAATTTCCTTCCGAGATACAGAAGACTTCAGATTTTTTCTTTCTTCTGGAATCAGGAAACATTCATGGTTACAGAGGTATTGTGAGCGATCAGGCATTGGGAGTAAATATATTTTCTAAACCAGGAAGAATATGCTTGAAAGATTACATATTAGACATGTGTAAATATGAAACACAGAAATTCCCTTGCCAAACATCATAGCTTGATTTATTACCATGTTGATTATTCCCAACTTTCAATAGCATTTAGGGCAAACTGAAAATTAAACGAAATCTGATGTCAGTTTCAGCATATTGCTTTGTTCTCACACAATTCTGAGTTTCAACTGAAGGCAGGTTTTTCTCTATTATGAAGTATGGTAAAGTTTTGATTTTATAATTTTTCCACTTTGTTTGCAAAGGAACAAGATATAAAGAAACAAGGGAAGACCAATGAATAATTACAAGAAGGGAAATAAGTGGATTCAAAGAAGAGTTTGCATTTGTGCCACTACTTTGCAATGGGCACATTCGCATGTCACACTAACCCATGCTGTGAATAAGCAAAGGTGAGTTGGTTGTTCACTGAACAACCCAAATGTGGTCTTGAGAGTTTATTATGAGTCTTCCCCACTGCTCATTCCCTCTCTTTCCTTCACTTCAAAACCTAGGGGACTTGACAGCTAAAACTTCTTCATTTCCTCTCCCCACTGCGATTACCACAGCCTTTCCCCCACATTTCCTTCTCGGCAATTATCTTTTATAATCTCCAGGTCAATAGTCAATGACAGCCCCTCCAAAATGCCCAGGTAACACATTGGAGTGGCTGTTGCTGGTTTGAAAAATATTCTTCAAACACAAGAAATTGTACACATTTTATACATTATTTTTAAAAGTTTAGTTGGACTTGCATTTGCAGGTGTGCACTTGTGGGTCCGCCTAGGCAGATACCCTTCACAGACATTTACCAAAACATACTTCAAATAGGGTTATTTTTCACTTTGCTTTTTCCTGACAGCTTTCCAAAAGCAAGGTAAGGGGAAAAGCAAAGCCACAAGTGCTTTTGCTTATGAAAATGGGTGGCCAATAGATAGTGCCCTCCACAGTAGTA